AAATGCAAGAAAGATATGTAGAAGTTTGTGGGACTCTTAGGTAGCCATTACTTGATCGGAATAAAATGATCACTATAAATATATCAGAACATTGTTATCTCTACCCTATGAAAATTCAACCCTTTATGCCAGCTAGGAAAGGTACAGTTTAATAACTAAACTTAATCTTTTGTTCCTAAAGATTTTCTGCTGACTATAATTAAACCGAAGAACATTTGAAGGGTAAAGAGCTTCCATATGGAGTAACATACTAAAAATTGCTCCAAAGTCAATTACCTTTCATGGGTTTCATTCCTATAGATCCTACCCAGGGGATGTGGATGACGTTTACACCCCCAGGATGCTGACTGTGCACACTCGTTTTACTCAGGAGCTCGGGGACCTCCAACATCAGGCAGGGAGGCAAGGGGCACAAGTCCTGACTTCTAGGGTCACTGTTAAGATCCTGCTGATGAGACAGTTGTGCTAAAACATATTCTAATTGGTAAAGGCCATTTCTAACATAAGAGTGGGTTTGTGGCTCATGCCTGTAATCCTAGCACTCTGGGAGGCTGAGGCAGGAGGATTGCTTGAGGCCAGGAGTTCGAGACCAGCCTGAGCAGGAGCAAGATTCTATCTCTACAAAAAAATAGAAAAATCTAGCTGGGCATCGTGGTGTGTGCCTGTGGTCCTACCTAATTGAGAGGTTGACGCGGGAGGATCGCATGAGCCCAGGAGTTTGGGGTTGCAGTGAGCTATGATGTCGCCACTGCACTCTAGCCCAGGTGACAGAGTTAGACCATGTCTCAAACCCAACACAATCCAATATGAACTATCATGTTTGTAATGAGACCGTGTAACATGGAGAAATGTTAAGTGTTTCTCTTTGTCACCTAGTGACTGGCCTAGAGAGGAGGAATGGCTATGAAACTCCCATGTCCTCCTGTGATCACACTTGCCCTCTACCCAGCACAGAGTAAAACGGAACCAGGCTTACAATTTAATGAGAGGGAGAATTAACAAATAAGAATGGAGCCACTGGGAAGGAGAATTTTGTGACCGAGACCCAGGTTTCTGAGTCCCCAGTTGTGTGTTCTTCACTAAGGCATCTTGACTCCTTCCTGGGGACAGATCCTCTCGGGGCATCAGGCCACCTGGCTTCAAAGCTCTCAGGCCATGGGCAATGTGCTCGAGGGCTGCCTGTGGTGATGGCAGGCACTCCCCAGTGCAGGGCCCACCTTCTCGTTTGACTGCCAGCAAAGTTGCACAATGCTGACCTGCCGCATCTGCTGTGTCCTTGTCCCAAGCTGAGGGTGAGAACACTGGGTTTGGTGTAGGCAGTGGGTCTTCCTGGGGGCGCTCAGCAGCCATCACCCACCTCTTCCCCTTAAGCTCTCAGCCCAGGGCTTACAGTCTTCTGGCATGCTACAGGATGGAAGAGTTCCCACACACCTTTAGCCTTCTGCTGCCACTGGGAGTAGTCACTCCTCTGGGGCTGTTCTGCAGATGTGGCACCTTTTAACAAGGTGGACTCTGCTTATTCCCTAGACGTTGAGCTTGGTCCCTCACCTATCCAGCAGCTTTCCTGGAGGAGTGATGATCTTCTTGGCTTCTGTCTGCTCATGACTATGTTTAGGTTTAAATTAGATAATAAATCCTAAACAATTAGCACAGACTCAAGGGCTCAGTACACAGTGGCTGTTATCAATGCACACTTCAACAAAGTCTTTAAATGTATAAAAGGGACCTCCTGGATGAGATCAGTTACTCAGCTTGTAGAGGGTTAATCCATCAACTGCATGAAGGAGAAGGGAAGGGCAGTGGAACATGGCCATCAGTGCCCACTTTCCATCCTTCCCATGTATAACACCTGTATGGCGGGCAAAGACCTACCAATAAAGTCAATGGGGGATGCTTTAAGTGTCTTACAGGTCACAATTTGTACCCACTCTATTATCCAATGTTGACATTAATCGCTGGCAAAGGTGGGGATGTGATCTTACAAAGCTGGAGGGACAGATATAAGTATAAGCATGTGTGAGAATGCTGCACTGTTTGCAATAGTTGAAGCTGAAGCTGCTTTGAAGCACTACATATTCTTTGGGGTTAATGTGTTGAAGATGTCAGCTGAGTGACTCCCACTGCAAACTGTGCCCCTAATACCATGCGGCACCAAGGCTTGGGAACCTGGCTGTAGTCCGAGATGCTGTCACTGTGCCTCTGGGCCCTTCCCCACCTTTTCCTATGTCTGTTGGAGTGGCAGGGACCAGCTGACTGGCTGGAATCATATGTGCAATTCCTGTGCATAGGATGTGAGTAAGTACAAGCCACAGTAAGTCAGACCAGGATATGAGTCAGGTTATATTGTAAGTGCTAAAAAGAACTGATCTTCAAAGCATCCTGGGAGCATTATGGTGTGCTTTGACACTAATGTGTAGGAGCTACAGTCCGAGAGACTTATAACTACCAAGCAAAGGAGAAACGCTGAGGAATATGGATGATCAGACTTGACCAGAACCTACCAATGACAAAGCATGGATATGATGGAAGCCAAAATCTAGAGGTCTTAACATTTAAGAGATAAAAAGAAAGATTTACCAGGACCACATATTTCTCTAGTATACTTCAGTCGGATATGTAGAAGTAGTGAAATATGGGCAGCTCAGGAAAGCTATGGAACATGGACTTGCTTTATTTTCCTGTTAAAACATATCTGCAGAGCAACTGTTCTGGGGCCAAGTTAATGGTCCTAAACTGGCTCTTAAAAAAAAAAAAATCTATTGGCACTGAGATATAAAGATACACACAAAAAGATGACCATCTGTAGTAAAAAGATGACCATTTGTCAGAGTAAAAAATTATTGACAATCTTGATATCCACAAATTAGAAAAATAAATTATATTACATCCCTTTAATGGAACCCAAGCAGCTATTAAAAGGAATGAAATAATCTGAATTATACTGGCACGGAATGATGTCCAAGACACACTGCTACCAAGAAATATCAGGTTGTAGAAAATGTGCTTGATAATCACAATTCTGTTAAAAATGTTTATATATGCAACATATCTTTAAGGAGCCAGAGAAAACCATTAATAATTGTTATCTGTGACAGCAAGAAGATTTTTTTACACTCTTATTCATTGTTTGAATCCTTTACAACAAACATCTATTACTTTAATAACAGAAAATAAAGGCCGAGTGCAGTGGCTCGTGCCTGTAATCCTAGCACTCTGGGAGGCTGAGGTGGGCGGATCATTTGAGCTCAGGCGTTCAAGACCAGCCTGAGCAAGAGCAAGACCCCATCTCTACCAAAAAAATAGAAATTAACTAGACAACTAAAAATATATAGAAAAAATTAGCCGGACATGGTGGCGCATGCCTGTAGTCCCAGCTGTTTGGGAGGCTGAGGCAGGAGGATTGCTTGAGCCCAGGAGTTTGAGGTTGCTGTGAGCTAGGCTGACGCCACGGCACTCTAGCTGGGGCAACAGAATGAGACTCTGTCCAAAGAAAAGTTAAGAAAAGGAAAGGGAAAAGGAAAAGAAAACCAACAAAGATATTTATGAGAGAAGAATGGTATTAACCTGTTTTCCCCCACAATTACAAGGTTCCTGGAAGCCTCTGGGGGCCTAACGGCAGCATCAGCCCTTTACAGCTGCAAGTTCCCGACTAAACAGCACAGGGCAGCTGGGCGGACCCTGAGCTCTCCGTTTGCAGGTCCACAGAGGCAAGCAGAGTTGACGTGTCTGAAATGCCATGAGAAAGGAGGGTTTACTGGCCTTGGAAGCCCTTTCTGTACCCCTGTCACAGACCCCTTGTGTGGCCTGTGCAAGTGTACTTCTGCTTCATGAGCTGTGGGGAGTTTGCTGCATGGCTATAACACGTGTCCATGACTCCAGACAGGCCACTGCTCGACTCCAGCACGCCCACACTTCCCAGCACGGTTTTACTGACCTGCTGTTCTGCGGGCTTGCTGTTGGAGGGGTTTGAGAGAAGTGACAGCGGCAATTCATCTGCTCCACCTCCTCCCTCCCAGCAGAGCCTTGAGGAACTGTCCTTTGCTTCAAGGGCCAGGCGAGGGGATTACATGACTTGCCTGGGACAGCAGGACCCCACCCTCACACCCTCCTGGTCAGGCGTTTCCTCTCTGGTCTGCCCTGACAACCCATGTGTTTAAACCACAATGCACAGCCTAGAAACAAATGTTCCCTCGGCCTTGCCTTCTGAAGGCTGCAGAAGCCCAGATGTCATTGTTTGTTATAAGCAACTTCTATTCTTCGCAGATCTATGATGCCTTACAGTCTCTACCAGCCCCGGAGCTTCCCTTAGACAATTCCTACTCCTCCTTCAGATCCTAGTTCCAGTGTCGCGTCCTCTGGGAGCCTCTCCCAATGCCCCGAGGCCAGGCCAGGCCAGGCCAGGTCGGCGCCTCGTGCTTATCCCAGTTCTCATCTCAAACCATTTATTCTTATGACAGCATGATTCACGTCTGCCTTCCTCATGGGACACAGGCCCAGCGAGGGCAGAAGCTGCGCCCTTCTGCCCAGGCTTCCACTGCATCCCCAGAGCCTGCCACCACGGAGACCCCGCCGAGCCGTGCTGGGTGGACGAGTGCAGCGTGGAGGGAGGAGGCAGCGGAGGGCTCTCCTCCTTCCTTGACCAGCTCACCCCCCTTATCTTCCGTCACAAGTGTTGGAGTGAATAGCTAGCAAGGAGTATTTCCCCTCTCACTCTCTGAAGATTTATCTGAGGTACAAACAAGCAGTAGGTGGCAGTGTTCAAGGGAATTAGAGGTTATTGCTAAGACTCCAGAAAGTTCTCAGTAGAAATAGCAGAAACTTTGATGCTATGACCGCTTGGTTCTTTCTTGGGGCCCTTTGGCTGCCCAGGGATGCTGTGGGCTTCCCGGGGCCACCCCTGTCCTGGAGGACGGATGGAGTATGATAGGGACAGAAATCCTCTGCTCACAACAGAGAGGGCCTCATGCAGCACGTGGTGAGGGGTGGGGACGCGCACTGACCTCGGCTGATGCGCTGCTTCTCCCCGGAGAGGATGCCGGGGCTGTCGATGATGCTGATGCTCTTCAGGACCTGATTGGGCAGCTGGGAGCACATGAATCTGGAAGAGACGCAGGGAAGCTGGGTCAGAACCTGGCACCACAGAGCGCTCTAATTGTGGGGTTCCTTGGCCTCTCTGGGCTTACTGATGTCATCTGTAAAGTGGGGGGCTGAAGGAGATCGACAGCGATTACAGATGCAGAATGAAGCCGTCTGTCCCTCACTTGCCTAATACCATCTCCTCCCTCAGGCCCTGGTCCTCCTGCCACGGTCCCACTCAGCCGCCCTGGCATCATCCTGTGGATGCAGAGCAGTGTGGGAGGAAAACTCCAGCCTATGGGTCAGCAGACCCGGATTCAGGGTCTGCCAGGGCTTTACCAATAATTTGCTGTGGGACCCTGGATAGGATCACTCCCTCCTCCACTCCTGGGCCTCAGTTTCCTCATGTGAAGACGGAGGTGCCTAGACCAGACTCTGGCCATGTCCTTTTTAGCTTTCATACTGTAGAAAACTCCACAAGTGTCAGTAGGAAGTGTTTGTTATTCCTCCACCCAGACAACAGAGCCTGCGCTGGATCTTTGTCAGGCACTGTGTGTGTTTTAAGGCAGACACTGAAGGGTGTCTCCCCTGTTCCTGTGTCACAAATGGCTGACTGCTGTATCTGTGTGGGCAGAAAGCTAAAAGCTCAATTCTTCCACTCAGTGGACGTGGTGGGCATGACTCAGAAAGTAAGTATGCGGGGAATGCAGGACGCGAGGCCAGCCCAGCCTCCTCGGCACACACAGCCAGCACAGCCCCATGCAGGGAGGGCAGCCCTGAGCAAGAGATGCCATTACTGACAGTTCAAAATAAGTGTCTTTGGAGGGGCTCAGGACAAGTTTTTCACACATTCTTTCCTATATTTTCAAATCAGCCCTAGAAGATGTAGGAAAAGATACTGTGGTCCTTTTGCAGATGGAAAAGTTAAAGTACAAAGCAGCTGTGGCATCTTGAGGTCTCATTGCTGATGCCCAGCTGGCTGGAGATTGTAATCTGATTATTTCTGATGTCAGTGGGTAGCACTCAACCCATATGGTTAAAAATCTCATAATGTTAAAAATAAGTGTCAAGGTAATTGAAGAGAAGCCCCCCGTTTCTGCGTGTCTCCTACCCTTCCTGCACCCCAACCTTTAAACAAGCTCACCGCCCAACAGTAGGAGAGCAGATTTGTGAGAATAAAGCACACAGGGATCCCCTAGCACTCTCTGCGAGTTCACAGAGGGAAAAAAGCCATTATTCAAATCTCTAACACTGGGGCAGGAACAGAGTTCTGAGCCCATCTGTGCTGGACCACGCTGCTTGTCTGTGATGATTTAGTTTCTTAGCACGGGCCATCCTTTCCATCAGAGGGCTGCGGCATTCGGCACAGTGCTGACCGAGTCGCACCTATGTGAAACTGCTCTGCACAAACTGCTGCTATGGAGAGGCTGACCTTTTCCAAAACCACAAGCTTGCACTCAATATCCATTTTTCCAAAACACAAAACCCCTAGATTGTAGGGTAAGGCTAACAGAGGGGTTCAAAATTTACACACCGTTCCCTCCCTGAGTGTAAAGCGACAGCCTTTCAAGAGCCCCCAGGCCCCCAACACAACAGCAGAGGCCACACGTGTCAGCCACAAAGACATATGCAATGGGGGGGGGCTGGTGTCACCACACCACACACAAGGCAGCAAAGTGAGGGGCCAAGAACTGCTGGGGGCAGGGAGGGGAGGGGGAAGGGGGTAACACTCTCCAGGGGGCACCCTGAGAGCGGGTGGCTGGGGTTGTGTGTGCAGAGCTGGACTCCCCTCCATGGAAAAAAGCGCCCAGGGGTGGGGTGGCCAAGAGAACACAGACACAGCAAGCATTCGGCCCTCGAGGTGCCACGGCTCACACCGTGAGGTCAGAGCTCCATACAGATTCGTTCTCAAAAGTTACACTGGAGTCAGAAAAAAACCCTAATGCTGTTCCAGCGATCGTGTCTGAGCTTTCTGTGTTGAGAAGGAAGGTGCACAGCAAGGTTATTTGTGCGTTTGTCATAGTCGGCCTCAGGTCAGGCCAGCCCGACCGTGCGTTTCTGCTGAAACGGTTCCAAGCACAGATATGCCGTCCCAAGACAGAGCTCCTGCCCCTTCCTGGAGTGACTGCACATACACAAGGTGTATGGTGTCCTGCTGTCTACATTTCACACTAAATATGCACACGTGTGCTGGTTAGAACCCGGAGCCTCACACAGCTTTTATGATTATCTCCCCACCCGGGGCTGACCTGATCGATGTTCTTTTCTAAAGTAAAGGAAGGGGAGGGAGCGCCCAAGATCCTGTGCTGGCCCCAACTCTGCATAATCTCCACATGTAAGGAAGGGTTGGGGTAGCAGAGAGGAGTGTGGGCAGAGTGACAACACAGGCTGGAGGGTCTCAGGCAAGTTGCTGGGAGCCCTGCCACACAGGGAAATGAGGAGTGGCAGGTAGGCTACTTAAAATTGCCCCAAACACTAAAATTCCAATTCAATGATCAAATTTAAATGATCTAATTTAAAAATTAGACTTTTAAAAGAACCTGAGAGCACCTTAATACTGATTTTGATTTCTCAACAAAACAGTGATATCGGTAGTAGTTACAATAATAATAAAATAGCACAAATATTTCCTGAGCTTGTACTATGTGCCAGGCACTGTCCTAAGCACTTCCTGTGCACATTAACTCCATCCCTCGGTGACCTTAGTGGTAGGGCTGTGAGCCTGCGTCTTACAAAGGAGCAGATGAGGGCACAGAGGGGTCACATGTCATCACTTGCCAAGCCCCTTGGTTGACAAGTGGTGGCGAGGCTGGGATGTTAACCACTGTTGTGTACCTTTATCACATGCAACATCCTAAAATAAGGAGTGATATGCCATAGCCAAAAGTTAGAAAAGCCATCTAACTTTTCACTAAAGGCCCTTCCTTGTGCGGCTGGCTCTGTACCCAGGGGTGTGTGGGGTCAGGGCAGGGAGCAGGAGGCAGGAGGATCATTTGAGCCCAGGAGTTTAAGGCTGAAGTGAGCTATGATGGCACTGCATTCTAGCCAGGGTGATGGAGTGAGTACCTGTCTCAAAAACAAAGCTATATTGCATGAAGCCCCATTTAATTACAAACACAGAGATTACAAATGGAGCATAAGTCTGCAAGTTCCCTGTGCATTTCTTGATGGCTGGATCGTCCTATGGACATAAGACAGTAGTTTATCATTACCCTCTCCACTGTCAGGCCTGGCTGAAATGACAGAGCACTGGAAGGATTGTTCAGATTCCTTCAGCACATGAGGAAGTTTCAAAATTTTAATTTTTATGGTTATTTTTCAAATAGAGGCAATTAAGAAGTAAATGAGATTAAGAATTTCTTCTATGGAAGACAACAATTTAAAAGTATACTTACATTCTAAACTAAAAACAATGTCTGTAGCTACTGAATTTTTAAAAAATACTACCATTTTCAGAAAAGTATACTGAGGAAACACATAACATCCCACTCAAAAGCAGACTGCAGGGGGAAACATCAGATCTTAATCCAGGAAACTTCTCGAGTTGACCCAAATACCCTGGTCCCTCAGAGGACACTGTTGGTTGTGTCCATCTCCTCGGTGAGGTGCCACCTGCCTCCTGAGCACACACTTTGGGGTGTCAATGTCCCCCCCCCTTGGGGCTCCCATGGAGCGGCTCCCAGACAGGCCACCTGCGGAATACCTTCCAGTACAGAGCAGTGTGCTGAGGCTTCAGAATGTGTCATTGAAGTCGTTCCATAGAACCGTCTTGGTTCTAGACTAGACTCTTTTTATCGTGCAATTTTTCTAATTCTAACCTGCCTTTTTGGGAGTTTATCTTCATTTCTCAGAAATGTACCATAGACCCCTAACATTGTCTTAGACTGTGGTCCCTAACCCCAGGGCTGAGGACTAGGTCGCAGAGCTCTGCCAACTCCTCCTCCCCCTCCACGGAAAAATGATCTTCCATGATCATTTAGGAACCTGCGGGCCACCCAGCAGGAAGTGAGCGGCAAGCAAGCGAAGCTTCATCTGTATTTACAGCCTCTCCCCATCGCTTGCGTCACCACCTGAGCTCCGCCTCCCCACCCCAACCCCATCCATGGAAAAACTGTCTTCCGTGAAACCAGCCCCTGGTGCCAAAAAGGTTGGGGGCCACTGGTCTTAGAAACTGGCCTTGGAGATTAGTAAGACTCAGGCTCTAGTGGTTTGCTTAAAGCTAGAGGGTGGTGTCACCTCCCAGGTATCACCAGGCACTACTTTAGGAAGTAATTCTTTTAAAGAAGCCCCTGGGGCAGGTGTCCAAGCCAACACCCATTAAGGAGAAGGCCAGGTAACGATGACCTGTCCCAGGGGAGATGTGGGTGTGGCTGCCTGGGGCAGAAGGTTCTCCACAACAACAGCCAATTTCTTTCCTTTTAAGTGTCATATTTTGACCCAGTTCCCAGGAAAGCATACTGTGTAAAAAAGAGGTTTGCCTTTAGGGCCAGCCTGCTGATGTTCCCAGAAGCGTGCGGTAATCACACACACACCTTTGAGCACCAGCACGGACTGACCCTCCTTGTGAAGCCGCAGCACTGTCCTGGGGACACTACTTAATCAGGCTGTCTCTGAAGTAGCTACGAGCTTATGTGAGGCACAGCCCTTACACGCAAGCCTGACATGAGCACCAAACCAGGAAGGCTAGAAGGACAGAGATGCCTCTTTGCTGATCCCCCTCGGAGGCACAGGGTGGGAGACAGGAGGGAAGGGGAAATGGGGATTCTAATCCTGTCTGAGTCTTCCTAACGGCCTCCTCTGGAGCAAGTCACTTCTTCGCTTTCAGTTTTTTTATCTGTAAATTGCCACAATATTGTCTGTTTTCTTAACAGTGTATAAGAAATTATGTAAATGATCACTATCATTTTCATCGACATTGTTGGAGGGTTGTATTGGAGACGGCCTTAAAAGTTAAATAGGAGTGTCAGGCAATGAGCCTTAGTTCAAACTTGACACCACTTGGTGGCTCAGGAGCAGGACTCTGCAGACATTCCCAGCACTGCCACTTAGCAGAGTGACCCGGCGGACGTTAAATTAACCTTTCTATGCCTCATTCTTCCTCTCTACATTGGGGATAACAGTAGCAGCCATGACACAGGGCTTCTGTGAGCATTTAAAACTAACATACAAGTTTGGGGCAGGACCTGACACATAATAAATGGCATATAATTATCTGCTATCATTTTTCTATGTCTTATTCTGAATTCAATGAACACTTGATTATATGATGCATGGATTACTCCAGCAACTTTTAGAATGTGACATTTGAGCCTTGCTATTGAAAATCTTTCCTAGATACTTCTTTTCCATACTCATTTGTTGTATGTTTGGGATTTGCAAAACATTTTTGTTAGGAAAGTAAATCATCTGCCAAAATAAGACAAGCCAATAACCCCTCTTCCTGGTTTGTTCCTTGTGAATATGGACTTCACAAAATGGGAATTTGAAAAAAGTGGCAGCTTCTTTCTTTCTGAAAGCCTTTCAAAGGGCAGTGGTGATGAAATGACAGGATTCCAGAGCAGCTTCCCCGGGAGATGGAGCCTGTGCCCTGCACTTCCCAGGAACCTTCCTCCAGAACCTTCCAGGGCAGCTCTGATGGGGAAACTTCTTGTCCACTTCCCCTGAACTCTGGTCCACTCTGTCCTGAGAGACCCAGAAGGTTGAACCTCTGGGCTTCCCCTACCCAGGGCTCAACCTCTACTTCTCCCACAGGGATCCTCTGGTGCCCACTGAGGCTGCTCTGGGGTGAAGGAGTAAATTCCTAGAGAAGAGAATCCTGGAAAGAATCATCTGGACAGTGACCTGCAAATCACCACCAGTAACAAGAGGGAACTTCTCTCTGATTCCATCTATATCATCCGCCAAGTTCCCCGGCTACCACTTTCTTTGATTTGCAATAGGAGCACAAAACAAGCCCTTAAAGGAGAGTTCAGATCCTTAGACAGTTCAGTTTGTCAAAGAAGGCACCTGTGGAGTTGCCTGGGCTGCCCTTGGCAGAGCCAGAGCACAGCACCTGGCACACCGTTCGTTCCATAGTCCACGTGAAGGGTGCCCCTGGAGTTGTGCAAGGAGTCGCCTCAACCTCTGGGAGGACAATAGTCGGCTGGGAGGGTCTGCTCCTATTTTTAAGAACATCTAGAAAGGAGAAGTACAGTTCAACTCTCCTGTTGTCTGTAAGCTCTAATCCTACTTCCTCTCCCTAAAGAGACCCGAATGACTCCACCCTAGCCCTGCACCTCCTACAACCTAGTCCCCAAACAAGCCCTCTAAAGCTAGACTGCAAGAGGGAAACTGGGGAGGGCGGTGATAGGGAAGAAGAGAAAAGAGTTAGAAAAAGAAAAAAAGGCTGGGAGTAGCAAAGAGGAAGAGGGGGAGGGAAGCAAGAACAGCAGATGGTGTCAGAAAGGGCAGAGCAGCATCTAGGAGCACTGGCTGGCTCGTCCCCCTAGTGCCCCTCAGTGTCACTGGGAACTCTGATGAAAGGTTATGGGGGTAGCACAAATAAAACACACCTCCAATGAAGACAGAACTGCAGGAACCCCACAACTTTACATCTATAAACAATGATATGTCATAAAATCTACTTTTTGTGTTTTGACTCTATTTCCCTCCTGCCCTGCTCTAATGAATCAGGAAGCAGCTCGAGGCAGGGGAGTGAGAAGAAAAGGACAGCCAGGGAGGGGAGGTGACCTGTCCTGGAGACGGCAGACAAAACATGAGTGTCAGGTGACTCTGTGGGAGCCATGCTCTCTGAGTGCAGGAGACCCCGGCACACTATGCCTGAGAGGTGGCTGTCTAGCCCTGCTGGTGACGGGGAGTTCCCTACCTTACGAGGCAACCTGATCTATCTCTGTGCAGCTCATATTATTATAAATTTGTTCCTTATACTATGTCGCCTTATAATGTCCAATCCCGGGTCTTAGCTCTGCCTTCCGAAGTGACCCACAATAGGTATAAATGATCATTTCCTATGGTTGTCTTTCAAACATGTGAACACAATGAACATATTCTCTATGACTTCTAGAGCAGACACTCTCTGTTCTTCTGTTTTTGAACCTTTACACGTTAACTGGCAATAATTCAAAGAAAAGTAAATAATCCAAAGAAATGTGACCAAAGATGGCAGTTTGCTGGTCCTTACCGATTCAGGAAAGCATTTCCAAAGCGACTAAGTTTTCTAAATGGCTTTTTGGGGTCCACGACTAAAGCATTTCCTGGGGTGCTGCCCTCAGTCTCTCCGTACATCACGGCAATGAAGGAATCGGTGGTGGGCTCTGGACCAATCCTCATGCCTGGGAAATCCTGCTCCAGCAAGTATCTGGGAGAGGGGGAAGAAAAGAAAATTTAGTGTGTTGTCATAAAACAAGAGACTAGATATCTGCCTGGGCTTACCCATTGTTTACATACTCATTTAAAACCTTAGAAATATAACCTCTAAGAAAAGCACAGCAATCCTTGTTTGCATTTCCATTGGTGCAACAGACACTACCCCAAAGAAGGTACCAGCCAGCTCCTGGGCACCCTGGCATCCCTGCTCAGGCTCATCTCCCTTCAGGAAACTTCCTAGACCCGCGTGCTGGGGACACCTCTTCCGTGTTCCCTGGGCACCCTGTGCCTGCGGCCAGGGTGCTCACCACGTGCACTACACTGAGCTGTGGCCCTGCAAGGTGTCTGAGGTGATTAGGGTGCAGCCATGTCCCAACCCTGCTGGGGGGATGAACTTCACCTTGTGATCCTCGCAGGGCTCGAGGGAAGAAACCTGCATGACTTTCTCCAGCCACTCATTCCTGCCACTAATAATCAATCTGGTCCTAAACTATTTCTTTGTTTCTAAAAAGTCCTGATCACATGTAAGCCCAGGACCTGTGACTCTGTTTCCAGGAATAGAGAGAAAAAACTGAATTATTGAATGTCAAATGCAATTTTGCCATTGTTATAAGAATGACACATTCAGTCACGCTTTAGACCTACGTTTTCTATGTAGATAAAATTGAAATTGTTCAGCAATCTTAGCAGGCTATATTCTAAGCCTTTAATTGACATCATTGCTAGTCCTCCAAAGTTTCTACATTACTGTGAAGTTGTGGAACCCCTGAATAGATAGATACATCATTAAAACATGTCTCCTAAATTTAGACTAAATGTGAAAAAAATCTAATAATATCATGTGGCATCTACTGAGTGCTCAATATATGCCTGGTATGGCACAAAGTCTTCTATATGCACTTTTGTTTCATTTAATCCCACAACAGTCTGAGGTGGATGATAACATTATCCACATTTCACAGAGGGGAAAACTGAGGCATCGGAGAGGCAAAACAACTTGCCCATGGTCACACAGTTAAGTGTTCAAGTAGAAATGGAATGCAAGTAGTTGGACTCCAAAGCTTACACTGTCTCCAAAAATGTTTAAACTTGGCTTTGAGTAGTGCATTGCTCAGAGATGAAAAGCACAAGGGAAGTTCAGGGCCGCATGCTAGGATGTGCCACTGGGCGTAAGGCATAACAACCCCTATTTTCTCTAATGTGAGGGAAGAGAGCTCTCCGAAGTGTCTTCCTGCTCAGTCCTCCGTCCTCCATAACGACAAGGGGCTGGTTCTCCCTGGAGAAGAGCTGGGACAAAGATGTGTGCTACTGTTTCAAAATGTGTTCATATTTAATTTTAAAAATTTTTTCAAAACTTTTTCAATCAAAAGCTTTGTGCACCTAATAGCCTAACAAATACAGTTAGGAGCAGAAATGTTCATATTTATCAATTCTTATAAAAATTCCACACAAATCTTAGAAATACTGGTTGGTAAAAGCTACTGTGAGAACATCTCACGTTCTGTGAAACTGCAGCATTTATGAATGTATCTACAGTGTGTGGATTTCATATACCTACACAAATGTGGAATTTAGGTTTTACAGTCACTCTGGGATCTCAGGTATGAAGTCATTCAGCAGCAAAGCTAGAATTCGAAACCAGATCATACTCTTGCATCCGCCCCCACTGTCCAGTTTGATCTTTACGTCCACAGCCTGGATGAGGCTATGGCAGGAGGCCCGCAGGAGAGCCCGAGAGGGGGCCTGCCCAGCTCCTTGCAGCACACAAGCTCCCAACTCACAAAAGGGTTAGGTTTGAAACTTGACAGGCACTTCTCCATAGCACGTGTTAACAGCCAGGGTTAGCTTGCTGAGACAGCCTACAACAGGTCACACTCCAATGAAATGGACGAAGCAAGAACGGTACCACGCCCTTTTGGGGAAAGAGCTCAGTGCTGGGTTCCACCGTGAGTGGCTTGCTGCAATGTGGCCCCTTCTCAGCACCTTCACCAGGCCTGGGCAGACGGGCGGCCCTCCAGGTTCCAGGCTGGGGAGGTGAGAACAGGGCTCGGGCAGGGTGGAGAGGGACTGTGGATGTTGAAGTTAGGCGGTGAGTCCCCGACTGGACAGTAACTCACATGTAACAGGTGTTTAAGTCAGAGGATCGCTGCCAAGGAGTGCCTGCATTACTTTCTGATGTTTTATTTATGTACAAGGACAGCAAATCCCACTAATTTTGGAATAAAAGGAGTGCCTACATTACTTTCTGATGTTTCATTTATGTACAAGGACAGCAAATCCCACTAATTTTGGAATAAAAGGGGCTCCAAGTAACAACCTAAATTAAAAAATTATTTAAAGATGAGCAGGTGTTTCCTCCTTTCAAGTTTATATTGTCATAGAAGTTAGAGTTTCCTAAGTAGCACCCCTACCAGACAGAACATTAAACAATGAATTATTCTTAAAGTATGCTGCAAATGTGAAATAGTTTGAAGCAAAAGGCACCCCCTCAACTGTGACCTTGATAAATCATTCAATCTCTGGATCCCGGACACAGAGGAAAAAACTAGAACTAGGAAGAATTACTATATTGTTAAGCTTGCTTACATTATCAATGTTTAGTGATACTTTCTCCCACAGGTGATATAAAGTCAAAATTCAACGTTCAATTTCATCATCAAAGCAATACCAATTAAAGACATAGCATATTAGCGAATTAAAAAAACTCACTCATAACATTCAATGCTGGTGAGAGTCGTGTGAAATAAACACTCATATATATGTTGGTGGGAGAATTAAGTTGGCAGAACTTCACTGAAAAGCAATTTGACACTTTGTGTTAAAAGACTTTAAAAAGGGGAGCCCTTGTGGAGTTTGGGTGTTATTTGTGGGTCTATTTCCTCTCCTTGTCATTTCCTGCAGGGTCTGACAAAACTTTAGGGCCCTGAAGTCTTGAGGAATCATTTGATTCAACCCTTTATCTTTTTTTTTTTTTGAAACAAGAGTCTCACTCTGTTGCCTGGGCCAGAGTGCCGTGGTGTCAGCCTAGCTCACAGCAACCTCAAACTCCTGGGCTCAAGCAATCCTTCTGCCCCAGCCTCCCGAGTAGCTGGGACTACAGGCATGCACCACCACACCCAGCTAATTTTTTCTATATATTTTTAGTTGGCCAATTAATTTCTTTCTACTTTTGGTAGAGACGGGGTCTTGCTCAGGCTGGTTTTGAACTCCTGACCTTGAGTGATCCTCCCACCTCGGCCTCCCAGAGTGCTAGGATTACAGGCGTGAACCACCACACCCGGCCAGCCCTTTATAGGGGAACAGACTGAGGATTAGAGCAGGAGAGTGACTTGTTGGTCAAACTCACAGGTGGCCACAAAGGACCCGGAAGCTGGAGCCCTTCCCCACCGGCCCGAGGCTTCTGCCCTCCCACCAGGCTCAGCCCATGACGCTGGGGTCCCACACTGCCACAGGCACTATAAGTAGGACCAGGCAGAGACATGAATGGACATACAACACTCTAAGCTGACTGCCCTGCGAGAGCTTTTACATTGGGGTATTGCTGAAACTCAGGTTCCTTTAGGTGACACTGCTGGGCAGGCAGGCACACATCAACGCAGTGAGGGAACCAGAAACAACTGAGACACTGAGTACCGACAGGGAAAAATGGAGAATGAAGAGATGAGATAAAAAACCAGCGAGCTGGAAGGGAAGCATCTGAGTGGATGACAAGGTGCGAGGCACATGAACAGATTAAGCACATGGCCGCATGGATGAGGCTGATCGATTGTGTCAGACTTTTTTTTTGTTGAGGGACACCTCAGAGGCTTTCCCAAAGCTATGCATTGTTCCAGGGACTCTGGTGTATCTGCAATAACTAGAAATCAAAGGAGCAAGAGGCCACAGGAAGACTACAGAAAATGGCCCAGCACACTTCAGAGCTGATGAGCCCCTGCACAGGCATCCTGTGCATTAAGACTTGATGTCTGTTCCTACTGCATAACGAACCTAAATAAAAAGACTTGATGTCTGTCCTTGGCTCCACCCCGCGCCTCCTTCCTGTGTTCCCACAGAGGCCCGCCAATTCTAGCGCTGATTGCTTCAAGGTTCCTGGGCCAAGCCATCAACATAAAAAGGTACAGACGTTTGGATTCTGAGCAGCTGGGCGGAAGAGGGGTGGAGTGGACGGGAGACCTGACATCTCCTTGTCCTGGTTAGATGAGGTCCCTAGTTCAGCCTCGTCCAAGTGGCTCCTGAGAACACTGGCTTCCTCTTTCTTTTCTTTTCTTTTTTTTTGAGACAGAGGAGTCTCACTGTTGCCCCAGCTAGAGTGCCATGGTGTCAGCCTAGCTCACAGCAACCTCAAACTCCTGGGCTCAAGCAATCCTTCTGCCTCAGCCTCCCGAGTAGCTGGGACTACAGGCATGCGCCACAATGCTCGGCTAATTTTTTATATATATCAGTTGGCCAATTAATTTCTTTCTATTTATAGTAGAGACGGGGTCTTGCTCTTGCTCAGGTTGAACTCCTGACCTTGAGCAATCCGCCCACTTCGGCCTCCCAGAGTGCTATGATTACAGGCGTGAGGCACTGCGCCCAGCTAATATTTGAGGACTCTTTATGTGCCAAAGTCTTTACATGAATAATCTCATTTCATCCTAACTACTTTATAGGTAGGTACTATTTTTATCCCCATTTTACAGATTAGGATACTAAGGCTCAAATAGGTTGGTTAAGTGGTTTGTTTAAACACAGGATTTCTTACTAGTCCTGTGAGGACACTACCTGCCCTAAATCAAAGCCTGAGAAGCTGAGTCAGTCTCCAATAGGAGTGTTTACAGGAACATGTTCTGTGAATTATTAAAGAAATACAAATGTAAGACTTTAAAAATAATATGGCACATATATTTGCAGTGTCGTATGAGCATTATTTTTAAATTGTCAAGCCAAAAGCTAGAGAATGGCTTGTGTGATGATAAACAGGATTTTAAAAGACATGTCTGTGCATAGAGT